ACTGCTCACAGCAACCTCCAACTCCTGGGCTCAAGCAAGTCTCCTGTCTCAGCCTCCCAAGTAGCTGGGACCACAGACGCCTGCCACAACACCCGGCTATTTTTTAGGTGCAGCCATTATTGTTGTTTGGCGGGCCCGGGCTGGATTCAAACCTGCCACCTTAGATGTATGTGGCTGGTGCCTTAGCCGCTGGAGCCACAGGCGCTGAGCCATCTGTCTTCTTCAGAGAAGGATCTGTTCACGTCTCTTCCCAATGCTGTATGGGATTGTTGGCTCTTTTTTTTTATTGATTCATTTGATTTCTCTGTAGATTTTAGCTATTGATCCTTTGTCAGATTCATAGCATTGCAAATATCTTCTCCCTTTCTGAAGGTTGTCTGTTTGCTTTGATTATTATGTGCAGAAGCTCTTTTAAAAATTTTTTTTTATTAAATCATAGCTGTGTATAATAATGCAATCATGGGGTACAATGCTTTATATACAATTTGAAATATTTTCATCAAACTGGTTAACACAGCCTTCACGGCATTTTCTTAATTATTGTGTTAAGACATTTATATTCTACACCTAGTAAATTTCACATGTACCCTTGTAAGGTTTAAATCTAAGACATGAAATGATAAAAGTTCTTGAGGAAAGCATGGGAAAAACTCTAGATGATATAGGCCTGGGGAAAGATTTTATGAAGAAGACAGCATCAGCAATGGCAACATCAACAAAAATAAATGAATGGGACTGAGTTATGAGTTAATTTTTGTAAGTGGTTAGAGGTGTGGGTCCAGTTTCAGTCTTTTACATGTGGTTACCCAGTTCTCCTAGCACCATTTACCAAATAGGGATTCTTTTCCCCAGTGTATACTATAGTTTATCAAAGAGAAGATGACAATAATAGGCTGGTTTTATCTCTTGGGGTTTTCAATTCTGTTCCATAGATATATGTATGTCTGCTTTTGTGCCAGTACCATGTTATTTTGATCACTATTGATTTGTAGTAGAGTGATGCCTCCTGGTTTTAATTAAAAATCCTTAGTTTTTATTACTAAGGGTTGCCTTGGCTACACAGGTTTTTCCTTGGTTTCAAACAAAATGAAGAACTCTTTTTTTGAGTTCTTCAAAGTATGCTGTTGGTATTTTAATGGGAATTACATTAAATCTGTAGATCGCTTTGAGTAGCATAGACATTTTAACAATGCCCAGCAAGAGCATGGTATGTCCTTCCATTTGTTAACATCCTCTGCAATTTCTTTTCTCAGGATTTCAAAGCTCTCTCTGTAGAGATCCTTCACTTCCTTTGTAAGATACATTCTCAGATATTTCATTTTCTTTGAGGCTACCATAAAGGATATTATATCCTTGATTTCCTTCTCCACTTCATTGTTAACTGGTGAATACAAAGGCTACTTTGATTTGTGGACATTGGTTTTATACCCCACAACATTATAGTATGTATGTATTTTTTGAGACAGATTCTCATTCAGTCACCCTGGGGTTGAGTGCCATGGCATCATAGCTCACATCTCAAACTCTTGGGCTCAAGCGATGCTCTTGTCTCAGCCTCTGAGTAGCTAGGACTACAAGTGTCCACCAGAATGCTCAGCTATTTTTAGAGAAGAGGTCTCGCTCTTGCTCAGGCTGGTCTGGAACTCCTGAGCTCAGGTGCTTCACACATCTCAGCTTCCCAAAATGCTAGGATTACGAGTGTGAGCCACTGCCCCTAGCCAACATTACTGTATTTCTTGATCACTTCCAAAAAATTTGTGGTTGAATCTCTGGGATTTTCTAAATATAAGATCATATCATCAGCAAAGAACAAAAGTTTGACCTCCTCTGTCCCCATTTAAATGCTCTTAATATTCTTCTCTTCCCTGATTGCATTGGCTAGAACTTTCAGCACTGTGTTGAATAGTAGTTGTGATAGTGGACATCCTTTCCTGGTTCTGGTTCTAAGTGGGAATGCTTTCAGTTTTACTCCATTCAGTATGATATTGCCTGTGAGTTTGTTGTAAATGGCTTCTAACAGTTTAAGAAAAGTCTAATCTATGCCTATTAAAAGTTTTTATTAGGAAAGAATGCTGAATTTTGTCAAATGCTTTTTCTGTATCTATTGAGAGGATCAGATGGTCTTTGTTTTTGCTTCTATTTGTGAAGTGATTACATTTATAGATTCGCATATGTTAAAACAGCCTTGCATCCTTGGGATAAAGCCTACTTGATCATGATGTACAATTATTTTTGTTTGTCGCTATATTCTGTTTGCTACCATGTTTCCCAGAAGATAAGACCTACCCAAAAAGTAAGCCCTAGCGGGATTTCTATGCATTTGTTAATATGCATAATAAGACCTAGTGATGGATGTGGCTATGTCGTGTATCTGCATAGCCATGCCATGCATTTCAGCACAAAGCAGTAAGGAAGACTAGAATACCTTTTATCTGCCACAGATCCTTTCTTTGAGCTGTTGGCACTTGCGTGGGTGCACATGTGGTACCCACAGTTGCAGGCATCTTGTTTCATACATGCGAACAGCTAGGGGAAAGGAGTTCATGCATCACTAGTGCTGGCCCCACCAACAAGGTGGGCTCCCCCTGTCAGGTTCCAAAAGAAGATGACTTAACTGTATTTGAATAAATGTAGATTGTTGTATTATACTTAATAAAAACCAGATATCCCCCAAAAAATTAAAAAGAAATAAGACACCCCTGAAAATAAGCCCTAGTGTGTCTTCTTGAGAAAAAATAAATATAAGACAGTGTCTTATTTTCGGCAAAACATAGTAGGATTTTACTGAGTACTCATGGATAATTTTTGACTCCCACAACACTTTACTAATAACCTACTCTTGACTGGAAACCTTGCCAATAACATTCAATTAATTCATGTTTTGTATTTTGCAAAATGTGCAAGATTTTTACACCTACTGATACAGCTGCAATGACAGCTTCATAAATTTCCTTTTCTTCCTCTTTTTTTTCACAACAGTCCTTATACTTGATTCATTTACCTTTGAATGGTGGGCAGCTGCAGCTGCAGACCTCAATCCATGGTGCATATCAAAACAATTCAACTTTTTATTGTAATGTAATGACTTTTCTCTGCTTCTTGGGAGTACTTCCAGCTTTGCTAGCAGCACTTTGTATTGTTTCCATGGTGTTATTCGGGGTTTACAGTACTAAACAACATAAAAAATATGTGAGAACTGTAAAAGATCACTTTTTACTGTGACATGCCATTTATTGGAAAGACTGCCCATGAGAAGACGATTAGCATCACATGGTGTTTTAAGCAGATACTTGCCACATTTGGAGCTCACTACAACAGCAACAAGAGGTGACTATGAAAGTATGAATAAGAGTAGACCATAATTTTTGGACTTTCCTTTTCTTCTTTTTATTTTTAAGGCCATAATGTTCTTATGAAATGAATTGGAAAACATCCTGTTTTTATTTAATTCTTCTTCATGAAGTTTTTAGATTATTCAGGCCATTTGAAGTTTCTTTGGTTAGAAGATAAATTTTCCCTCACTTGTTTTATTGTAGAAAATATCACATATGTATTGAATAATTAACAAAATGTTTACATATAGTGTTATGGTCTGAATATTTGTGATCCTCCTAAATTTATATGTTAAGATCCTAATCCCCAACGTGATGGCATTTGGAGGTGGGGCCTGTGGAAGACTATTTGAGTTAGATTAGGTAATGAGGGTAGGACCCTCATGATGGGATTAATGCCCATAAGGCATTTATAAAAAAAGAGGAAGAGACACAAGATTTGTCTGTCTCTACCATGGGAGAATATGAGAAGAAGGCCATCTGCAAACCAGGAAGACCTCTCTCCCCAGACACTAGATCTGCTGGCATTTTGATCTTGGACTTCCTAGCCTCTAGAACTATAGAGTCTGTTCTTTTAAGTTACCCAGTCTATAGTATTTTGTTATAGTAGTCCAAACTGACTAGACATACAGTTTAAATACTAAGAGTAATAAAATAATTTCTAAAACATTTCTATGTACATATAGCTTAAATCATAAGGTCCTTGCCTACATATTTGTGATTCAGGTTAATAAATAAAATACCACTAGTATCAGAAATGTGTTTCATGTACTCTTGTGAGATTACATACCTCTCCCTAACTGTCCCTAGGTAACCACTACCTTGATTTTTGTTGTAATCATTTATTTTTATTCGATTGTATCTCTAGACTTTATATTATTGGTTTGTCTCTTTTAGAACTTTTTATAAATGGATCATACTGTATATATAATTATACCATAAATTTTCTTTCTTTAGACTGGAGAAAATGAAAAAAGAATATAGAAATCTGAATACATGGATGGAAAAAGTTGGATATTTAGAAAACCTTATTAACCCCAAATTAGGACATAAAAATATTGAGGTAATTGACATAATGCATTCTTCTATATATAGATTTTAATACATTCTGTTAAGAAAGAAATTTTGATAATTAAAAGTGATGATCAGATGTTGCTTTTTGTTCTCCCTATATAAAACAATATTTGTGGTTCACAGTCTCCTATTTTGATAATTCATATTGATAATTTGTAAGATTTACTTTTTAACAGCTTTATTATGATATAGTTTATATACCACATAATCAACCCATTTAAATTATATAACTCAGTGGCTTTTAGCATATTCACTGAGTTGTGTATTCATCACCATAATAAATTTTAGAACACTTATATTACTTTCAAAAGCAACTCCATACCCTTTAGCCAATACCCTTCTAATTTCCTTATTCTCACTTTTAGGCAACAAGTAGTATACTTTCTGTCTCTATAGATTTGCCTATTCTTAATATTTCATATAAATGGAATCAAGCAATATATTGTCCTTTGTGACTTCTTTCACTTACCATAATATTTTCAAGGTCCATCCTTGTTGTAGCATTTACCAGAATTTTATTTCTTTTTTTATCTCCTAATATACATTATTTAGATATACTACATTTTGTTTATGCATTCATTAGCTAATGGACATTTGGGTTGGTGCCACTTAAAAACCATTATAAATAATGTTGCTGTAAATATTCATGTGCAAGTTTTTTTTCTTTTTGAGACAGAGCCTCAAGCTATCCCCTGGGTAGAGTGCCATGGCATCACAGCTCACAGCAACCTCCAACTCCTGGGCTCAAGTGAGACTCCTGCCTCTGCCTCCCAAGTAGCTGGGACCATAGGCACCCGCCACAACACCTGGCCGTTTTTTGGTTGCAGCCATCATTGTCATTTGGCAGGCCCGGGCTGGATTCAAACCCACCCCTTAGGTATGTGTGGCTGGTGCCTTAGCCACTTGAGCCACAGACACCGAGCCCATGTGCAAGTTTTTATGTGAATATATGTTTTTAATTCTATTGTGTGTATATACTTGGTAGAAGTGGATTATATGGTAATTCTCTGTTCAAATTTATGAGGGACTTCCAAACACCTGATGATGCAGGTGTTTTCTATAAGCACCTACATCATCTTATATCCCAACCAGCAATGTATAAGGGCTCCAGATATTCACTAATACTTGTTATTTTGAGTTGTTAAAAATCATTATTGTAGCCATCCTAGTGTCTTATTGTAGTTTTGATTTGCATTTTCCTGATGATTAATGATGTAAGCATCTTTTCATGTGTTTGATGGTCATTTTCCTATCTTCTTTGCACAAATATTTATTTAATCCTTTATAAATTTATAAATTGGGTTATATTTTTATTGTGCAGTCATAGGAGTTCTTTATTAATTCTGTGTACTAGATCCTTACCAGATAAGGTTTAATATTTATAAACACAACCTAACCTATACATTTGACTTAGAAATAAAGGATTCATAGCTCTTTAAGTGGATAGATAAAACATTGACTAAGATCATAATCCTAAAATAGTAGTCATAAAAGAATGATATTTTTGTATTTTTAATGCTTCTATGATAATTAGGTAGAGTTGTGCTGCTATATGATGAATTGAAAAATCTGGGGGGACTCTTCATTAATGGGACTATGAACTTGGGTTATTATTGAAAGATCAGTTTT